TTGTTTGTGGAATAGCTAGGTGCTTTTTCTCTATGTTTACAAACTCCTTTTATGTTTTGACGGCGTATACTAGAGAGAGAGAGGATATAGCATATATATAAGAAAACAATTTCTTTCATCATACCCTAATAGAATATACAATCCTAATTCAAGTTAGAATTTAATCACATTTAAACTAAACACATTTAACTGTCCCATCAATATTTTAAACTTTAAATTAGACCTTTTGGATTATAAGGCTTAACTCAAATGTTTTATAAAATCAAATAAAATATAATCAATAAGCTCAAATAAATAAATTTCTAACGCATAATTCTTCTATAATAAAATCTTTTATCTGAGAATAAGAAAAATTATTGATATTGGGTTGGAAGTTGAGTAATTCAATACTTATTACATTCGATAAAATAGTTTGTTTCAAAATATTTGTCACATTTGTGGTTCCAATGAGTAACAAATATTTTTTTCATGTTTACCCTTTATATATGATAAATAATTATTACTTCAATTTAACGGTAGTCTTAGAGAATTAGTATTTAAGTAAGGATAATATAGTCAATTTACCCAATAATTTATTGTAATTTAAAGAAATTTAATAATTCTTTTAAGGGACGGTGAAATTTCAAATATGACAAGTATTATGGAACAAGGTAGTATGAATATGTATTTACATCAGATGGTAAGACTAAATATCGAAGGAAAACCATTAAATATATATATATATATATATTGAAGGAAAAGAAAAGAAAATTCATGTATTCTCATCACATCCAAATATGTTAAATCAAATGTAGATATGGAATTTTTTTTTTTCATTTAATGTGCAAAAGGAGTATATATGGATTTTTCATTTAATGTAGATAGGATTTTTACTTCGTTTGCATTTAATATTTTATAATATTAATTGTAGTATGTATGTTCTTTTAACTTAGCAGGACACCTTTGATTATTATGTAACACTTTGAAAACTTATGTACACATTTGATTGTTAAGTTTGCCTTAAACTAACAAGTTCAAAAGTTTCCAAGAAAGGAAAAAAAAAAAAAAAAAAAAAAGTAGACTAGGATTTTACTTCGTTTGCAATTTTTATATTTATATATTAATTGTAGTCACTTATGTTCTTTAACTTAGCAGGACACCTTTGATTATTATGTAACACTAGTGATAAACTTAATGTAAACAACATTGATTGTTAAGTTTGGGCCCTTAAACTACAAGTTCAAAAAAGTTTCCAGAAGGAAAAAAAAAAAAAAAAAAAAACCAAGTTTAAAAGTGGATGTACATGGTTGATTAAAAAAAATTTTATTAGCTGTAATAAAAATTATGGAGGCTTTTTCAAAAAAAGAAAAAAAATTATTAAACTAATTTCTTGAACCTACAAATGTGACAAGTATTTTAAATGAACTAAAATTAATTAAAAAATCTCAAAATTTTGCGGTTTATATTATATCTCTAAAATCCAATTTTTCCTTCTCCTACTTATCCTCAACTTCAATTTCAAGTTACAATAACATCGTTTAATTTAAAATTATATCTTAATTTCAAGAATAAATATTTTTTTCGAAAAAAAAAAAAAAAAAAAACAAGTTTAAAAGTGATGTACATGGTTGATTAAAAAAATTTATTAGCTGTAATAAAAATATGAGGCTTTTTTCAAAAAAGAAAAAAATTATTACTATTTCTTGAACCTACAAATGTGACAAGTATTTTAAAATGACTAAATTATTAAAAAATCTCAAATTTTGCGGTTTAATTATACTCTAAATCCAATTTTCTTCTCCTAGTATCCTCAACTTCAATTTCAGTTACAATAACACGTTAATTTTAAATTATATCTAATTTCATGAATAAAATATTTTTTTCGTTGGACCTATACTCTCTTTTATGGTAGATTAATTAAAAATTCACTGTTTAACAACATTCTAACTAATATTAATTAGAAATTTAAATTTATAAAAAACAAAGTAAAATAATAAATTTTAGCTAGTTATAAGTATAGAATATTATTTTAGATTTTTGTTTTGCCCATCGTTCTGAAAACTGGATCAGATTGGCCGGTTTGACCAGTATAACCGGAACCAGACTACGATTCAATCCGGATTGCATATTTAAAATGGGAATAAAAAAAATTGGATAAGAACAGATATAAACCGGTGAGAACCGGCGAACCAGACCGGTTATAACTACGGTTCGGTTAAAAAAAAACAAAAACAGTGACTTTTATGATGCATCTGTGTTTCATGTTCTTCTTTTAAGGTTTCTGCCCTCTTCAATTGTCAATTTATATATGTCCTAGAAGATCAGAAGAGAAAGAACAACGAACTCTTATTTAAGATAAAGAAAACTAAGTATATGCTCAGAAATGAAAAAAAAAAAAAACTAAAATGAATATAAAATATATAAAAGAATTTCAGATCTCAAATATGCAGTAAACATATGTCAGGAAAGTTAATACCTTTCAAACTCATTTTTCTGTAAGAAAGAAATACTTTAATGGCGATATTTTAGAAATTTTTTGGGGACCAAGAAGCTCATTATAGTCAGTAGAAAGTGAAAAATCACCGTCCATTGTCGTCTCTCTTTTTCTTTGTAAAAACAACCTATCTCTGTCTATTTGTTCCTCTGGCTCTGTCTTTCATGCAAGATATTTTTAGTGGGTTGTTTTAGGACTAAGCTAATTGAGTGGAAATGTTATTGGGCTTAGGCATTGTATTTGCTTTGCTTCTACTAGTCTAAATGCTCACAAGCCAATCTATATAAAAATAGTGTTTTTTATTATTGTTGTTTAATTCATACAACCTCATGAGTTTTATATTCTAAAAAAAATCCATAATATTTAGTTAAATTATTTTCTAGAATCACTAATTTGCGAATTTAAATTCTAATTAGAGCTTAATAAACACACAAAAACAAAAAGTTTAGAATTGTAGCAAGCATAGACGGTTGAAGACAATTGTTCTTTTGTATAATATTAAATTTAGCATGTTTTTATCTTTTTTATAAAGATTATTTAGTATTTATAAATTTTATATTTTTAATTGTATTTAAAAAATATATTTACAAATATTATATATAAAAATCCGGTTGAACCGTATTGAATCTTTCGGTTCGATGAATCCCTACCTTTATCTGTTCAATGGTCAGTCCGATTCTCAAAACATTAGTTTTGTCATTTACTTAGGTTAGATCTCTTATAAAAGTAGGTTTTATTCATTACTATGTCATTTTATTTTTAGGGTTATTATTTGTTGTCAATATTATATAAATAAATAAAAATATTTTATTTTTAAGATGAATAGATTATTTTCTGTTTTAATATTTATATAAATAAATACAACTATTTATTTATTTATAAGCAGTGGTATTGGAAAGGAGTCTAATTAGAGGAAAAGATTACATTAGGTCCCACAAAAAAATATTTTATTTATTAAATTGATTACAATTTGAAATTAGAGTATTATTGTAACTAAAATTGAAATTTAGGATACTAAGAAAAGAAATTTGAATTTAGGGTACCTTTAAAGTTACCCGCAAAGTTTGAGTTTTTTTTTAATAATTTAGCCATTTCAAAATACTTGTCACATTTGTTCCTTCCAAAAGAAAAAAGTACTTGTCACATTTGTGGTTCCAAAGAGTAATAAATTTTTTTCTATGTTTACCCATTATGGTGTTTAGATATATTAAATTAAGAATAATAGAGTCAATTTACTCAATAATTTATTGAATCTTAAGCAAATATCACCATAAGAAAAACATTAAATAGCGACCGCGTATATAATGGGTCGCTAAAACATATGATATAGTGAACGATTAAAAATCGATAACCGAAAAAAAGGAAAAATAATATAATTATATAGAAAATATTCCGATTAATTAGCGAATCATTTTGGCAACCGATTAGCCACCGAATTATTATCAATGGCTAAAATTCATGGAAATTTTTTACTCTAAAATTAACAATAATTCAGCGAGAAAAATGAAAAGATGAAATTAAACAGAAAAAATAGCGATCATTAAGTTCTGTGTTGCAACTGTTTTGTACGAATTTTTGCTTCCTTCCATTTTCTTTTTGATTGTCTTGGAAGTATTTTTGATTGTCTTGGAAGGAAGGTTGGAAAATATTAATGTATCTTGAGATATGTTGCACAGGTTGTAAATCTTTTGGAATTGATGTGAAAAAATTATTTTTTTTCTGTACACAAGAATTTAGCGACTGAATAACACAACTTAGCAACCGATTATTAAATTTATTTTATTCATTTCAAAACATAAGGGACCAAATTGATGCGGATTTAGCAATAGCATATTAATTTCATTAAATACCTTATTGACCGATTAGACACCATTTAGTGACCATTTTACTTTGCAACTATTTAGATACCGATTTCTAGCAATAATGATAAAACCAAATTAGCAACTAAAATTAAATATTAGCGACTGATTTCAGTTGCTAACTTAGCGACCAATTAGTAATTCGGTCGCTAAATAAATTAGCGACCAGCGGATTAGTCACAAATCAAGTCGGGTCGGTCGCAATTCGGCTATAATTCTTGATTAGGCACCAATTTTTCCTATTTAGCGACTGATTTAAAAAATTTATTATTCCTGTGATAAGTATTTTGAAATAAATTATTTCTTCAAATGTGAGAAGTATTATGGAACACGGTGATAGTAACAAAATTTTCTTAATGCTTGCGAAACGATGAGTGTGCCTATCTATTGGGATGGAGGAAATATTTATGAAAAGATTCTCCAAAAAATACATTTATTATCATTTTTCTCTATGTCAAAAGCATGAACTTTCTATGCTATGATACTGGGTAAGTGCAATTTAATTGTTGGGGGAATGTTTTCCTGTTCCTAACCGGAAAAATAATGAAGGAAAAAAGTTATGCATGCGTTGAAATTATTTATTAGTGCATAATATGCAAATGAAAACAGTTGGTTGGTTTCAGAAAGGATACAAATATATAAATCAAATAATCATTTAGCCTAACACATGCAAATTAATAAATATTACCGAAAAGAGAGAAAGCATATAACAAAAGTAGTCTAGTCCAAAAGCTCTTAAGATGGGAAAAAAAGGGTAGCAAATGTCTGCCAATAGCCAATAGGTGTGAGCTTTTTCCACCTATTTATGCTTCTAAAACACACAACAATAGAAGAAGGAAAAAAGAGGACACAGGTTAGTTACAGTACTAATTTAAAGCCAAAAAAAAAAAATCCCCATCTTGCACAACAAAACCCTAGCTAGCTTCCTAAAAATATTGTTTCAAGTAGGAGAAAGGGATAGTTCAACCTTGTACAACAAGGTTGTCTCCTCTAATGGGTTCTTTTCCTTTTTAAAACTTTTGGGGAAGTCAATACCCGAACCTGTAATCCATTTCAATCTCTCATGAAATTTGTTTAGCTTCTCTCTTTTTCTTAAACCCTAAACAAAATCCCATGAGCATGAAAAGGATCATGTAAGGTGCGCTCTTGACTTCTCTCTCCATCTTCTATTATCCAAAATCGCATCTTCTTTTCATATATTTCCTCTTTTTCTTCCTTCTTCAATCGCTAACTGTGAAAAGAAGAAAAGTTATTAGACCTGAGCATGAACATTTTTAGTTTCTGCTTTGTTAAAATGAATCGGATTACCTATAATTAACGTTTCATGGTAGTTCATGCGGTCTCGCATGATAATGCTGCCTTAATCCTCTCAACAGTGCACGCGATCAGATTGTTGACAGTTGCAACTGACCCAAGAGAAAGTTTTGCTGTAGGAACCGAATCAACTAAAATCTGAAATGCAACAGTTAGAAGAGATCCACCAGGTGAAGCGGGTTCGCCAATGCCTCCTCCATCGTGTGTGGTGGTTCCATCGGGAAGAATAGCAAACCCAGAAGGAAGAAGAGCTACATAATCTGGATCTCCACCATTAAGTACAACATTCATTGCAACAATATCGACAGGAGCATAGATGACGAAAGAGGCTGTTGGATCAGTGCAACTCTCTTGCAAAATAAGCATGTTGCTTTGGCTTGAATTTGCACTCTAAAATCATATGTATTAATTAAATTTAGTAAATATATGATATAATCAAGTGAAAAAATCAAATAGGTAATGGGTGCCACGTACATTTACTCGAAGAAGAGACACACAATTGCCAGTATCCCTGCCATTAGCAATATGCGCCATTTCTTGAACAACTCCACCATTTGATAGGATATCCCACTGTAAGTATGAGTAATAAAGCTGGAGAATTAGATGAATTCATTTAGGATTCAAGAAAATTAGTTCTTCTGAATATTATTTTCAACAATACATTCAAGAAATTGTTCTCTTTTTATCTAATTTTCGTCACAAGTATATAGTCTTTGCATAACAAAAACATACCTCACTTCGCGAGTTCTCATCGCGGAGAAAATCAAAAACCCTCTTTGGAGGAACTGGAAGCCAGAAAGAAGTAGCAGCACTAAGCACAATGCCAGGAGGTCTCCCTGGATCATCTACGCTCTTTCGAGTCATAACCCTAACATCATCAGCTCCAGTTCCGGACAGTGTCGTCCATGTATGAGCAGTAGAGGCACTCACTCCTGCGCAGAAGCTTATCACCATCCTCTCTGCCAGTTTCAGCATACTCTTCCTTCCTTCTTGATTAGTTATAACTGTAAATTAACAAAAAAAATATTATATGTGCATTCATTACTGATGATGTTACTAATGTACATGTAATAAACATTACCGCCAACATCGCCTGTCGGAATATTTGTTGCCATTGCACTTGCCAGCCTTTCGCATTGCCTATCAAGTGTAGCCACCCAACGTTTTGCACCAAATGCGTGGCCTGAGCTTACTAACTGCTTGTACAGACTATGAACACCTCTATCATCCACTTCCACATGTTCAACCCATGTAACCTGAGGTATATTAGTGGCACCAATCAATTAATTAATTAATTGAAATAGTAAATGATGATTATTAAGTTTGAAAGTTAAATTACCTTTGAGTATCCATTAGGCATTTCTTGAATTAAGCATCCAGATGGCCTTCTCCGGCATCTTGCTGCCGGACTAGGGCGTAAATTGTCTAATGAAACATCTACCACAGCCCAAGTCCCTTCTGCATGTTGTTTACAGTACCTTACATAGTAACTCTCTCGAGTGGGAACAAGCGGTGTAGGTAGTTGAAATTCAGCCGTCATCTGGATGAAATGAAATTAGCAAGTTTGATTTCACTTTTCTTAACCCATAAAATAGTACAAATTAGGTATACCAAATCATGTAAATGTCAAATTTTACAATTCTTGAAATTGCATAACCAATAGCCAGATTATGAGGCCTAAAAGCTAATGTAAGATATTTAATTACCACTTGTAAGGCTCCATTATAGTTCCCCGCAACTCCAGTTGATAAAACTTCCAAAGTCATGGCTCTTGAGACAATGCCGGAAAACACAATAGACCATTGATTCTAAAAAGCAATGAAACAATAATAACAATTTTACCTAATCCAAATCCAAGAAGCTAAAAACAGCTTATTTGCGAATTGAAGAATTAAACCTTACCACATCCATTAGATACTCAACCAGGTTAATGTGATTCATGATAACAACAGCAGTTTCTCTAGAAGCTTCACATTTAAAACCAGTAGGTTTCGGTCCAATTCCTCTAGGGAATATTCTAATATATTCATCTTCATTTATTACACAATTTGTTCCATCAAGACTACTCATCCATAATGGTTCACCCATTTGAGCCATTCTAATGAGTTCTTCCATGGCTGCAACTGCAAGCTCAATGATCATAGATTTATCAGCCTCACTAGGTGCGCCTATCGATCTAAGTAAGTCTCCGGCTCCATACATTTCCCCTCCAAAATTACCCACGCCAAGTTCAAGAGGCCGCGGAGGCATTGGTGCTGATAAAAGAGGGTAGTTCACTACAGGCTTGCCAACATATTTAGCAGCAATGGCTGAAATACGATCAATCTATAGACAAAACATCTCAATGTTAAATAATGTGGAAGAAATTACATAATCAATGGATTCTAAAATTATATTGATACTTTAATTTATCACCTCTTCTCTTAGTCTGGCGTTTTCAAGCCTCAAATGATGTTCATCAAAAGACATTTCACCAATAGCAGTAGGTCCTCCACAATTAGGACATGAGGCATTACTAAGAGCTTCCCTATATCTCATATTATCAGCCCTAAGCTTTTCATTCTCAGCTCGAAGTTGCGTGTTTTCATGTCGCTCATGCTGTGTCTGTGCATGACCAAAAAAAAAAAAAAAAAAGAGCGTGGGATTCTAAAAATTATATTGAATACTTTTGAGATTTATCACCGTCTTCTCTTCAGTCTTGGCGTTTTTCAAAGCCTCTAAATGATGTTCATCAAAAGAATTTCACCAAATAAGCATAGGTCCTCCACAATTAGACATGATTATGTTCGGAGGTTACTAAGAGCTTCCTATATCATTATCAGCCCCTAACAGACTTTTCATTCTCAGCTCGGAAGTTTGCGTGTTTTGCAATGTCGCTCATGCTGTGTCTCGTGCATGAAACCAAAAAAAAAAAAAAAAAAGAAAAAGGAGATTTTTAACAGTGGCCGGAAGGAAGAAGCTAAAATGGGGTATGCAAATCCAGAACAAAAATGAAGGAAAAAAGAATCCCAAAAGAGAGGAGCAAAAATAATGATCAATATTGCATGACCAAAAAAAAAAAAAAAAAAAAGAGTTTTAACATCCAAAAGAAGCTAAAAATGGGTATGCAAATCCAAACAAAAATGAAGAAAAAAGAATCCCAAAAGAGAGGAGCAAGAAATAATGATCATATCGTAACCGTCAAATCCATTGATGTAAATTATGTCACATGGTCTATATATGTAAGGTCCAATCTATAAGATTGTGCAGAGACGTTATACCTTCATTTGGGTGCGTTTGTTTTGGAACCAAAATTTGACTTGCAATGGCTCTAACCCTAATTCACGGCTAAGTTCCTTCCTTTGCTTGTCATCTGGGTGTGGACACTCTTTGAAAAAACTAAACATTTATATAAAAAAAATTAATAACCATAAAGAACTAAAGAAAACCATTTAATTGTTTGAAATGAAGCTTAATTAATTACGCTTCCATTTCTTGGATCTGGTGTTGAGTATGGCGATGGTATCTTTTCTTCTTATTAGGACGAGGATCTTGATCGTCGCCGGAAGCACCACCTTCATGGTTGTCGCTGCCGGATTTTGTATTAGTACTGTCGAATTCGTCATCTCGAAGTCGAGCTAATTCGCTTTCTGATGTGTTCTGTGTCATGTTCAAGTGGTGATGAAGCTGACTCTCCATCATATTTGGCTGGAACATTTCTACAGATCTTTAAGTATACTCTTGAAGGCTTATTGTTTTTCAATCTATAAAAACAGAAATTCAAAAAAAACACAAAGAAAAAATAATAACACACTCAAGATTTTGTCTATGAAGTGTTAAAGTAGGAAATAAGAGTTTAAACTTTTTTTAAAATAAAAAAAAAGAAAAGAAAAAAAACCATTAGATCTTGTAGAAGACAAAAGCTATTTTGTTGCAGAGACTGTTTCTCTTTTCAATTTCTTTTTCTTTTCTGTGCATTTTGTGCATAGTGCAGAAAAAGAGAAGAGAGTTTAAAACATGACGCGTTTTGCAAGAATCGATAAGGATTTTGCTTCAAATGGGAAATTAGTCTTGACTACTGACCTAATCGCCGACATAAAAAACCTTTTTAGCTTCTTAACAGTAGAAGTAGAAGCAGTAGAAATAGCAGTAGAAGACGAAAAGATCTACTTTGTTTAAGGGAAAACAAAAAATAAAAAAATAAATTAATAAAGAATTTCTGAAATGACTCAAAGTACATTAAACAAACCAATGAACAGGAAAATTAGATCAAAAGCCTCAAATTATTATATACTAATACAAGTCAAACATATATTATTAATTAATTAAGCAAGCACAGACCTGAGCGAGGGTAAGCCCTGAAGATGATCCGAACCCACCAGCATTCCCATTAGTCCCAATCATCGACGGCATGTCTCTTGCCGGAATCATTACACCGGCAGGCATATTTCAAAACCCACGAACCCTAATAATATGTTTATATAGCTTAATAGCTCAAACTCTCACTTCTATTACTGTGCTAAAAAGTGGTGTGTTGGGTTTGGAAGTTTGCTTTATATAGAGAGAGAAGATTAGATTAGAGAGAGTATAGGGTTTTGATAGATTCTCTTTGACAGAGCTGACTTTGCCGTTGAAATGGGTCTGTCTGTCTCTCTCTCTCTCTCTCTCTCTCTCTCTCTCTTTCTCTTTCTCTTTCTCTTTCTCTTTCTTTCTTTCTTTCTTTTTTCTTTAGGTCTAACCTGTTCTTACGTACAAATGTAAGAGAAATATATAAAAGAAAGATAAGGGTTGACAATTTTCCATACGACCTTTTGACACTAAAAAGATAAAAACCCAACTCCCAAATGCAATTTTTATTTTACTTGTATATGTAACGCCCAACTAAGATCCCCAAGAATCCAACTTTGGCTTCGCTGTCTCTTCCTTCTGTCTTCCTTCTTGCTTTGGCTCTCTATAATCTGCTACAACAAGTTAGAAAACCAAAAGCAAAAAGTTTAAGAAAAAAAATCAGTACAAAATCCAAAAGAATTGGAAAACAAGAAATGACCAGTGTTAAAAAGAGTTTTTCTTTTAAAAGAAGAAGAAGAAGAAGAAGAAGAAGAAGAGAAACCCACAAACAGAGAAGGGTTCGTGGATCTGAAAATGAAGTTTACCTTATCAACCAAATACAGAGGGACTGATTGGAGGCTTGTTTGGCAAGAGCTGAAGCTTTTATGGTAATTAGATATACAAAAAAGGAGAGAGAAATTGAAAAAACAGAAAAAAAAAATCAAAAACAAGGAAGAGGAAGAAGAAAGAAAGAAAGAAAGGAAGAAAGAAAGAAAGAAAGAGAGGGAGAAGAAGAAGAAGAAGGAGAAAGAGATGGGGAAGGGAAGGAAATGTGGCAGCCAGGAGTTATTGCAGAGCGTAATTGAGAGGTGCAATAGCATTTAATGGTGGAGAGGTGTAAATGCAATTGCTATACCTATAAGAATGAGAGAGAAAGAGAAAGAGAAAGATAGAGATAGAGATAGACTTTTTTTTTTTTTTTTTTTTTTTGGAGAAAAGAAAAGAAAGAAAGAAAGAGGGAAGAGAGAGAAGAAGAAGGAAGAAGAGATGGGGGGAAGGGAAGGAAATGTTGGCACAGGCCAAAGGAGTTATTGCAGAGCGTAAATTGAGAGGTGCAATAGCAATTTAAATTTGGTGAGAGGTGTAAATGCCAAGGTGGTGCTATATTGTACGCTATAAGCAAATAAGAGAGAAAGAGAAAGAGAAGAGTATAGAAGATAGAGATAGACTTTTTTTTTTTTTTTTTTTTTTTTTTTGTTGGGATTTATTGGTTTTGGTTTTGTTTAATTTCTTTGGTTTAAGGCGAGAGAATAGAGGGTTTTTTTTTTTTTTTTTTTTTTTGGGATTTTGGTTTTGGTTTTGGTTTAATTTCTTTGGTTTAGAGAATAGAGGGAGTTGACGGCTGCCAAACTCTCTCTAGCTATAATTTTGTTTTTCTCTCTACATCTACATTAATAACGTATTTCAATCTTCAAAAATTCTTATATACACACACTTGTTGGTTGCTTTCTTTAATTTTTTTATTATTATTTTCTTTTTTCCAACAGCAAATAAATTATTTTTACATTTGCCCATCTAGGACTTGAATAATAATTAATAATAATTCATTGTTTTTATAACATATACGTAAACATATTAATTTTTATAATAATGATAATAATAACAATAACAATAATAATAATAAATCATATGTTTCTTTCAAAAAAAAAAAATCATATGTTTATGTATGTTACTAAATTGCTTGGGCTAGATTGATCCTATATATTACAAGAAAGTTTATTTACACTGTTTAATTAATTCCTTGAAATTATATATTCATATATAATTAAAAAAAGATTTTCAAAATTTCTGTTGGTGTTCAAGATGAGCACTCTAATTTTGTTACTAATTAATTTCTGAAATCTAATAATAAGAAATAAATTTTATGTCTAATTGATTAAAGTTATTAATAAATCTAGAATAATAATTTTTTTAGAAGAAAATCTAGAATTATAATAGTGGTTTAAATTAATATTGCATATTAAAACATGAATTAATTTTTATTTGATAGATTATTTAAGATGGCTCATGTCTCATAATAATTGAAATTAATAATTTCACTATTCAATTATAAGTACCTTGATTTGAATTATATATTCCTTCTATCCATTTTTATTTCACCTTTAATTAGGTTCTATATGATAATTAAGAAAGTAATCAAATCACCTACTTACTTCGTAATTTAACTAAATTACTCTTTATCTCACCTAATTATTTCAATGTTAATAATTCTCTCTTCATAAATCTTTCCATTAAATTAAGGAAAAGAAAGAAGAAGGTGATAAGATGAATTTTAGGAAATTATAGACAATAAATATTGTGTTGAGTAAAAATAAGAGTAAAATTAATAAAAAATTATTAATACTCCTCTGTCTTCTTAAAATGACAGTTAATTATGAACAAGCAACAGTTAAAAATGGATGGAATTATTATAATTGCTCTTTATATCAAGATAGGGTTTAATTTCCAAAAAAAAAAAAAAATGAAAATCACATTCCTTTTGATTGGCTACTATAAAAGATCATCAAACATTTGTAATACATTTTTTCAATTAAGTGCTGTGATTAATTTTTGCACATTAAATTAAATTTATTTCCTTTGATTAAATTAAATTCGAATAATTAACACTATTTACTAATTAAACTATGTAAGAGTAATTTCAAACTTGAGATGGTAAGATGATATATATCAAAGTGATGGTCCACCCTATGCAATATGCATAACACATTGCAAGTGCATTTAACCACCAAAAGCATGGATGTAATTATAGTTAAAAGGGCATTCCATCTCATCAATCAATAATAGTATATATCTTTTTAGATGGTTTGCAACAAAAACTATTTAGTGATCAATTTTGATTAAAAAAAATATATCTAACAAGCAATAATAGTTTCCATTTGAGTTTGAGCTAATTTAAGTATTTTTGCAATATTTGGAGTGTGAAATGCAAATTGGCTTACATCCGTACTTCTTTCTCTACACAAACTTTGTGAAGGAACACAAAGAAGAGAAAAGAGCCATCTTCATCATGTTGTCTCCTTTTTTTTATTAGAATAAAAATAAAATGTCCTTGTTGAGTGGTTAATTTTTGAATAAGTAACTCAAAACCCATAAAAGAATTATTTGATTAAAAAATAAGGATAGTATATTTTTCTAAAACTCATAAAGAAATAATATATATTTTTTTTTTTGGTAAAAAAAGGAGAGCCAAAGCTCTAGAAATTACAAACAAACTCTAGAATGCATTCCACCCAAGTTATCATGCAGTAGCCATGGAAGAACTCTTTGAAGAGGCTGTTGAAGAAAGTGTGTGCCATTAGGAAAGTTTCCTGCAGCTTTTGAGAGAAAGTCGGCACTAGGAACTGAACAAAACCCAAGCTTGGAAAAAAAAAAAACCATGAACCCATTTGCCGTTGTAGTCTCTAAGAAGACCACCGCCGCATGCCATGTTCCCAGTCACAGACCCGTCTGTATTTAGCTTTATGTGAGAACGAGGTGGGGGAAGCCACGAAATCCATTGCAAACTCTTAAGTTGAGTTTTTGGTTCAAGGACCGTTAACAAAGACTGAGAATTTGCAGCTTCTTTTGCCATGGCCAAAATATTCAGTTTAAGATTAATAATAGCTATGTTCTCCTCTCTGAATACCCACCTATTTCTTTTGTCCCAGATCTTCCAACAACTAATACCAAAGATAGTTGCCCAAGCTACAGTAGAATCGTAAATATAATTAGAAGAAAGGTTCATACACAACCAATCTGACACATTAATGCTATGTCGAAGAATAAGTGTAGGTTTGGGACATCCAGATCAACCCACACTTGCTTAACATAACAGCAGTCCCACAATACGCGAAGGACCTTCTCATGTGAGCCCATGCAGATACGGCAAGAGGACGATGAGCTTAAGTGACGTATGTTCCATCCCATATTAGTGAGAAGTTTCTGATGCAATGTGAGCCAAAGGAAAACTCGTATCTTCTGGGGCCCCTGCCACTTCCAAACCAGATCCCACTTCTTATCATGATTAGCGGTCTCTCTCTTCGCAAGCCATCCATATGCCGATTTGATGGAAAACAAGTTATTGCTCGAATGCCTCCAGTAAATATTATCTTTGTCCCTATCCAAAGAGGGAGGAAGAATACCCGTAATGTAAGCCAGAATAGTGTTTGGTAAGAAAGAATTGAATTTGAGCCATCTCCAGCTTCCATTTTCCTCAACATAGTTTACAATCGGTTCTTGAATCATATGGCTAGGGACTTCATTAATTGTAACTTTGATAAGAGGCATATAATCTAAGGCCCATCTATCCAGCCAAAACTTTGTTATCCTTCCACCCCCCACCGCAAATATCGAACATTCCTCCAAGTTCCCCCAAGCACCTGTAATTCCTTTCCAAATAAAAGAAGAATTATTAATAGAAATAGGAGAAGAGCTAACCTCCGACGAAAGTTTATACTTGCTGGAGAGGACTTGGATCCAAAGAGAAGACTTTTCGCTTTTGATTTGCCATCCCAACTTTATCATAAATGCATCATTAAATAACTTATGATCTTTCACTATGATCATTAAATCATCAATAAATGTTTATTTTGTTCCAAAATTAATTTAAGGACAAATTTAAGACATAAAGTTTGAGTTTGTGATTAATTTATCTGAAAGCTTATTAAAAATAAAAGAATGTCGGATTTTCTATTTTTAATTTAGTTAAAAATATTTGAAAATCAAATCCTAAAAGAAAAGGAAAAAGAAGAAAAAGTTTATGTTTTAAGTTACTATGTTTTTATTTGAAATAGAAAATTCAAATTTATTTTTGCCCGACAACAAAAATTAAGGTAAATTGGTTGAAAAAAAATTATATTCTAAATTGTTTCAAAATTAATTTCCCATCAAATTATATATTTCCAATAAAAACTTATAATTTTTTTGAAAAAAAAAAGTAGTATATGCATGGAGCACTTTTCAGAGATGGTTTTTGTCTTTTTTTTGGGTCAAACGAAGGGCATTTACAACCATTCACCGGGACAAAACAGTAATTTTGAAAACAATTTTTTTTAATTGACATGGCGTGTAGATGTCATACATGCATGTACACTTGCTACTTGTATGTACCGTAAAAGTCAAAATTTCTGTCTGCATGGGATTGGCTTTGAGCGCAAAAGAATAGGAAGTCAACATCTTCCTTTCCTTATGCATGTGCACATGGCGATAAGAAAAACAACTTTAGAGACTAAAACCGGAAAAGGGGATAGCTGTGCAAGAAATGTGATTTTTAAAATTTTTTTAAACTAGAATGCATGCAATTTATATTTATTTAACTTTGACTGGATATTTATTTAAAATAAATTTCTTTTTCCCGCCTAATTCCATATTCAGACCGAAATGATAAATTTCTTTTTCCCGCCTAATTCCATATTCAGACCGAAATGACATTTAAACAAAATCATCCGTAGTGATTTTAAATTTTAAATTTTAATCTCAAGTAACCATCTATTCAAACTTTGTGAATATAATTTATTTTTTTTTGGTATTAAGTTTTATTGTTGAGCTAGTTTTCATGTATATGTGGTATTTAATAAATCCACTCAAGTATAAGGGAGATTTATAAAGAAAAATGCTACTTCTGCCATAATTTTTTATATTAATTTGTGGATTGACAGGTGTCATTATTTTATTTGTTATAATTTCCTCTGGAAGGATATTATTTAGTTGTATAGCTAATGTAAACTAATACAGGAAATGCTTATTTTCAATATATATATATGTTATGGTTATATTTTTTAATAAAATACTTATTTTTATGTTATGGTTATATTTTTTAACTGTTGGATGCAA